ATATATATATATAGTTAAATATAACAGTTAATTAATGTCTATTATGTTTGATCATGAGCCGTTCTAAACTTTGTATATTTGCTTTAATTTGGGGTGAAAATAAAAACAAAAATTGTCCAACATTGGGATATTTCTTTATTAAGCTGTTCCTTGATCTAAGCTTTCGACTCACATGAGCCATCTTCAGAGTGGTTATGTGGATATTTATACAAAGATATTCACCATCAAAGATGATATTCTGTTATGTTGACATAGAAGTTTGCTATGAGATAATAACGGTCGCAGAATAGCAGACACAGACCGTAAATTCATGATGCGGTTCTATGACGTCGTACCACGTGAGAGACCGAAATTTTAACAACAGAACCATATGTTCAAATGTAATATAATATGTTGTGATATCTTTTGAAATGTAACTAACCATTTATATATATATATATATATATATATATATATATATATATATATATATATATTGTTTTAACCTTAGAAAGTTACTAAATAGAATAATCAAACGAAAGTTGGTAATGAACGATAATACTTAGTACAAGAACAACACATATAAGATTTAGCCAGCGGCCCGTAGAAGGAGTAGTCAACGACTAAGTGAATTCAACAATAAATCTCCAACTCTAGGATATTTACCAACCGCCCGACGCGGTCAAATGTAATACAAGGGAGAATATAATGTGGGGTATCCGAGCCCGTAGGGTCGGCCAAAATTTCCCCGTAGACGTCGTATAAAATGTGCTCGGGTAGCTGTTTCCCGAGACGAGACGCTTCCCTTCAATATAGCCTCGTCTGGGGATCCTCTCTGGCTGGCGGTAGAGACTTTCACCAGCACAGCTGGAGATGAACCTCCAACTCTAGACCATGTACAGTATTCATTACTGTCTTTTGTAGAATAGGCGCATACGCATTATAGTCCGAAAGTATTCTACAACATATATATATATATATATATATATATATATATATATATATATATATATAATTCCATCCCAAGCAAGTCAGTAAAGCCACTAAGAAACAAATGAAAGAATGGGAAAAAAGAGAAACATTATTAAGGAGCGAGAACAAGTAAAAGGGTAATTAAGAATACATTGGATAGCGATTGACATTGCATTTAAATGTTTTGAGACAAAATTTGGCTGGAAAGCATAGAGCCGGAAGAGATTTCGACTAGTGAGAAATGCGAAAGAAGAAACTTTTAGCATAAAACCTTACGCGTTTATTTATTGAAATAGATAATTACTAAACCTACTTGACTCTGATATTAGAAATATACCTTCTAAATATTAAATAGTTCATAATTTCACCAGTCGTTCCAAATTGATGCTAATCAGTTGATAAGAAATCAGTTACCGAACTCTGTGGGCGTCACGACCTTTAAAATCTGTGAAAAAAAAAATTATAAGCGTTTCGAAGCAATCTACTAACATCTTCAGTAGCTTCTCGCTTCTACACCCGATTAAGAATGGTTTTGAAATAAGTTCGAATACTAATGATTATTGATTTCTAATTTGCACCAAGTAGTTTAAACATTTCACTCTATTTTTTTTAATATCTTGGTACTTCAAGAATTAAACGATGACTCTCCATAGCTTCCTTTACTTGCGAAATCTAGGCTAATGCTTTCCAGTTTCTGTCTCTATGGTTTAGGATTCAGAGTTTGACTTCTCTTAAATTGGTTGACAGCAAACATTAGAGAGCCGGGTCAACACAGTTATTTAACCAATAGCTGTGGGAGTTGGAATGATTCATACTTTTCCCAATGTCATTTGTGCCAAAGATAATGCGAAAGACTAGCTTGGATTTTGAACCCTTCCCACTTACCCCGTCCTGGGTATGACGATAAACTACGTCAAGCAGCAAGGCCTCTGATCAGGAGGCTTTGAGGAGCGTGGAAAAACCTCTTATTTGCTGGTGTTCCAAGATTTACCATGACTCGTGGTGGTAGCCACTGTTAGGGTCCCAGCTATGTGCAAAGAGTTAACACCCTCGAAACTGGGGTAAAAACACTATGAAAGTGTAAAAATAGGTTTTAATACTAGAACTACTTTGTAAAAAATATTATCAGAAATAAATTTTTGAAGAAAAAAAAACTATTATCAGTAATGTTTTTAAAAACTAAATATTACTATCAATACATTTTTGAAAAAAAATATTACCAGCTATATTTTTTTGAAGGAAAAATATTATCAAAAATAGATTTTTGACAAAACAAAATATTACCAGCAATAAAAATTTTGTCGGCATTAAATAAGCCATTCAGATTGATATGCCGTAAAACAAAAACCAAACTAAAGAATACATATTCTATTCATACGAATCTATCCAAAAAATTTTGTCGGCATTAAATAACCCATTGAGGTTGATATGCCGTAAAACAAAACAAACCAAACCAAAGAATACATATTTTATTCGTACGAATCTATCCAAAAAATTTTGTCGGCATTAAATAACCCATTGAGGTTGATATGCCGTAAAACAAAACAAACCAAACAAAAGAATACATATTTTATTCGTACGAATCTATCCTAAAAATTCTGTCGGCATTAAATAACCTATTGAGGTTGATATACCGTAAAACAAAATAAATCAACCAAAACTTCTCACTTACCATCTCGGTTTATCCAGAGTGACGCACAGACACAAAATTTGGTTGGTTCGTTGATTTTGTTTAGCGGTTTATCAAACTCCATGCATGCCTTCAGCTAGAGATAAAAATGGATTATTGATCATTTTTATATAAAATGGATTGTTGGTATTTTTACTATAAACATTTAATGCTGATAATGTTAATAATATTTTATATAACATTTTTACTATAAAATATATTTTTATACTTTCACATCGTTTTGTTTTTCTTTTGGAGGTCACTATTTGCCGATAGTTGGGAACCTAACAGGTGCTACCACCCCGGGTCAGTTTGCTAGCAACAATAATTAAGGGGTGGTTCCCCGCTCCTCAAAACTTCGAATCTCCCGGTCAGAGGCCTTGCTACCACCAGATGTAGTTTATCGACGTTCCCAGGACTAGATACACAATGGGGGTTGCATTGTGAATATAAACCAGTAGTTCAATGTATATTTTCTGAAACTTTTTTAATAGGTGCTTCTATAGAGCTACATAGCAAAAACAGATATTCAGACATCCGATATTAGTCCTTCTATATGGCAATGAATGCTATCGCACGAATAAAGAAGAGATTTGAGGCAACAGAGATACCGTTCTAAAGGAGGAGGATGAGAATACTATGGGCGGTGCATGTGAATAATGAGAAACTGTTAAGGAAAATAGAAGACAAAATGAACACATGTGCTTGGAATCAGAGTCATTTGAAATTTCTGGGATATATAATGGGGAAAGAAGGCTTGGAGAATTTAAAACTCATATCGAATACAGAAGGACATTTGAAACGAGCGCTGGTGTTTGTTTAAATGGATGTCGGAACAGGGAGTGGGAGATACAAAAGACAGGTATTGCTAAATGCTACAAGGGATAGGAAATTGTGGAGAGGCACCATCATCTACGTTCTGAATTCTCACGGCGCATAGAAGATATACAGAGACAACAAAATGATTATTTCATCTGTTTTTTTAAGTGTAAAGATGATAGAAGGTCCCTCGAGAGGAAAAAAAATAAAAATAAAAAAAAGATAAAATTGTTTTCCGGAAAAAAATGGATGAAACTTAAAGGAGAATGAATGGAAGAACGAGAAGAAAGAAAAAATGTGGGAAAAGTGCGAATGTGGAAAGCGAAAAAAAAAATCTTAATCAAGGTGTTAAAGGAGGTGGGAGAATTGGTGACGGGAATGCACTGGAATTTCCCATAGGATAGTGAGGGGGAAGAGAGAGAAACAGATAAGAGAGAGAGAAAGAGAAAGAGGGAGCGAGAGAGGAGAAAGGGGGAGGAAGTGAATATAAAAGATGTAGCAGTAGTAGTAGTAGTAGTTAAATTCAGCGGAGTGGGAGGATTGCTGCAGGAAAAAACAAAAACGGAAGCTACAATGTCACTATTTCCAAGATCAAGGCCGATCGATGGCTGGCGAATCAGTCGTAGAACGAAATCATCGCGCCGGGTCGGATAAAAGCGTTTTGCAGTAGATGGGAGAGAACGAAAAATGGAGAGTAAAAAAAAAAAAAGAAAGAGAGAAATCAAAGGCAGACCCCCGTGTGTGTGAAGGCGCAGAACGCAAAGAAAGTAACGGAAGCAGACGGGAGGAAACGGATCGAAAGACCGGATAAAAGAAACGAAACATTTATCTAAAATGGATGAGTGTAGTAAAGGATCATACAAAAATGAGGAATCGTATGTTAATACGGAACGAAGCGAAAGATGTAAGAGTTCAATCGAGAGATCTTCCTCGCATTCTCTCCCTGTCGGCCTAGTTTTCGATTCTTTTGCTATAGACGAGCATCGATCAGTAACCACACATACTAGAGAGACAATTCTCATCACCAAGGAGACTGTTAAAACTACTAGTACTAGTATTATTACTATGACAACTACTACTTTATTTATTATCTCTGCACATGTACTTACGATCTTTGCACTAGTATACGAACTATCCTAGTAACGTCATCGCTACAAAAATAGTACTTCTATTACTGTATTCAATTTAGTCATACTACTACAACTACAACTACGTCAATACAATCTGGTCGTTAACACTTCATTGATGCTAACTTGATTCACTGACTTTGAAGTCAATAACATTATTTATTTTTATTAACAATAATAGAATGAATAGAAATGTTAAATCTGTTCCCGTTATTGTTGATTATAAAAGATGTTACTGAAATACACAGTAATTTTTATATGCCAACGCAACTTTTAGAACGCACAATACGACCATTATAATCTTATAGAAATTACCAAAGTTAGAACGAAATGACTTTTTGAGTGTTTCAGTGTTGAAATTATTACGTACAACTGTAAGTTGTATTTTAATAGTGTCTTCGCTTTCATTTCTAAACTGTACAACTATCGCACAGTTTCTTGCTTTCTTTTTTCCTTGCTTTTTTCTATTTGCTTTCTTTTTTTTCTTGATTTCTTCTTCTTGTTTCCTTCTTCTTCTTTTTCTTCTTCTCCTTCTTCTTCCTTTTTTCTTTTTTTTCTTGCTTTCTTCTTGTTGTTTTCCTCTTCTTGCTTCCCCTTTCCTCTTCTTGCTCCCCCTTTCTTCTTCTTGCCTTCTTTTTGTAAGCGCTTTCTTCATTTTTCTTTCTTCTTCTGGCTTTGTCTTTCTTCTTCTTGCCTCCATCTTCTTGCTTTTATCTTTTGCTTTCTTCTTTTTCTTCTTTCTTCACTTATCCCATTTGCTTCCTTCTTGCATTCTTCTTCCTTTTCTTCTTCTTGCTTTCTTTTTCCTTTTCTTCTTCTTGCTTTCTTCTTCCTTTTCTTCTTACTTTCTTCTTTCTTTTCTTCTTCATGCTTTCTTCTTCCTTTTCTTCTTACTTACTTCTTCCTTTTCTTCTTCTTGCTTTCTTCTTCCTTTTCTTCTTCTTGCTTTCTTCTTCTTGCTTTCTTCTTCCTTTTCTTCTTCTTGCTTTCTTCTTCCTTTTCTTTTTCTTGCTCCCTTTTTCCTTTTCTTCTTCTTGCTTTCTTCTTTTTGCATTCTTCTTTCTTTTCTTCTTCTTGCTTTCTTCTTCCTTTTCTTCTTCTTGCTTCCTTTTTCCTTTTCTTCTTCTTGCTTTCTTTATTTGCATTCTTCTTTCTTTTCTTCTTCTTGCTTCCTTCTTTCTTTTCTTCTTCTTGCTTCCTTCTTTCTTTTCTTCTTCTTGCTTTCTTCTTCTTGCTTTCTTCTTTCTTTTCTTCTTCTTACTTCCTTCTTCCTTTTCTTCTTCTTGCTTTCTTCTTTCTTTTCTTCTTTTTGCTTCCTTCTTTCTTTTCTTCTTACTTTCTACTTCCTTTTCTTCTTCTTGCTTTCTTCTTACTTTTCTTCTTCTTGCTTTCTTCTTCTTGCTTTCTTATTCCTTTTCTTCTTCTTGCTTTCTTCTTTTTGCATTCTTCTTTCTTTTCTTCTTCTTGCTACCTTCTTCCTTTTCTTCTTCTTGCTTTCTTCTTTCTTTTCTTCTTCTTGCTTTCTTCTTTCTTTTCATCTTCTTGCTTCCTTCTTCCTTTTCTTCTTCTTGCTTTCTTCTTCTTGCTTTCTTCTTTCTTTTCTTCTTCTTGCTTCCTTCTTCCTTTTCTTCTTCTTGCTTTCTTCTTTCTTTTCTTCTTCTTGCTTCCTTCTTCCTTTTCTTCTTCTTGCTTTGTTCTTTCTGTTCTTCATCTTGCTTCCTTCTTCCTTTTCTTCTTCTTGCTTTCTTCTTTCTTTTCTTCTTCTTGCTTCCTTCTTCCTTTTCTTCTTCTTGCTTTCTTCATTCTTTTTTTCTTCTTTCTTTTCTTCTTCTTGCTTCCTTCTTCCTTTTATTCTTCTTGCTTTCTTCTTTCTTTTCTTCTTCTTGCTTCCTTCTTCCTTTTCTTTTCTTGCTTTGTTCTTTCTGTTCTTCTTCTTGCTTTCTTCTACTTGCTTTCTTCTTTCTTATCTTCTTCCTGCTTCCTTCTTCCTTTTCTTTTTCTTGCTTCCTTCTTCCTTTTCTTCTTCTTGCTTTCTTCTTTCTTATCTTCTTCTTGCTTTCTTCTTTTTGCATTCTTCTTTCTTTTCTTCTTCTTGCTTCCTTCTTCCTTTTCTTCTTCTTTTTCTTTTCTTTCTTTTCTTCTTCTTGCTTCCTTCTTCTTTTTTCTTCTTCTTGCTTTCTTCTCTTTTTTTTTTCTTCTTGCTTCCTTCTTTCTTTTTTCTTCTTGCTTCCTTCTTCCTTTTCTTCTTCTTGCTTTCTTCTTTCTTTTCTTCTTCTTGCTTCCTTCTTCCTTTTCTTCTTCTTGCTTTCTTCTTTCTTTTCTTCTTCTTGATTCCTTCTTCCTTTTCTTCTTCTTGCTTTCTTCTTTTTGCATTCTTCTTTCTTTTCTTCTTCTTGCTTCCTTCTTCCTTTTTAATTCTTGCTTTATTCTTTTGCATTCTTCTTTCTTTTCTTCTTCTTGCTTCCCTTCTTCCTTTTTCTTCTTCTTCTTTTTTCTTCTTTTTCTTCTTGCTTTCTTCTTTTCTTTTTCTTCTTCTTCTTCCTTTTCCTTTTCTTCTTCTTGCTTTCTTCTTTCTTTTTTTCTTCTTGCTTTCTTCTTTTTTCTTCTTTTTCTTCCTTCTTTCTTTTCTTCTTCTTGCGTCCTTCTTCCTTTTCTTCTTCTTGCTTTCTTCTTTCTTTTCTTCTTTTGCTTCCTTCTTCTTTTCCTTCTTCTTGCTTTTCTTCTTTCTTTTTTCTTCTTACTGCCCTTCTTTCTTTTCTTCTTCTTGCTTTCTTCTTTCTTTCTTCTTCTTTTCTTCCTTCTTCCTTTCCTTCTTTTTTTTCTTTTTCTTCTTTTTTTTTCTTCTTGCTTTCTTCTTTCTTTTCTTCTTTTTGCTTCCTTCTTTCTTTTCTTCTTCTTCCTTCCTTCTTCCTTTTCTTCTTCTTGTTTTCTTCTTTCTTTTCTTCTTCTTGCTTCCTTCTTCCTTTTCTTCTTCTTCTTTCTTCTTTCTTTTCTTCTTCTCCCTTCCTTCTTCCTTTTCTTCTTCTTGCTTTCTTCTTTTGCATTCTTCTTTCTTTTCTTCTTCTTGCTTCCTTCTTTCTTTTCTTCTTCTTGCTTTTCTTTTCCTTTTCTTCTTCTTGCTTTCTTTTCTTCTTTCTTTTCTTCTTCTTGCTTCCTTCCCTTCCTTTTTCTTATTCTTGCTTTCTTCTTTCTTTTTTCTTCTTGCTTTTCTTCTTTCTTTTCTTCTTCTTGCTTCCTTCTTTCTTTCTTCTTCTTGCTTCCTTCTTCCTTTTCTTCTTCTTTTTCTTCTTTCTTTTCTTCTTGCTTCCTTCTTCCTTTTCTTCTTCTTGCTTTTTTCTTTCTTTTCTTCTTCTTGCTTCCTACTTCCTTTTCTTCTTCTTGCTTTCTTCTTTTTGCATTCTTCTTTCTTTTCTTCTTCTTGCTTCCTTCTTCCTTTTCTTCTTCTTGCTTTCTTCTTTCTTTTCTTCTTCTTGCTTCCTTCTTCCTTTTCTTCTTCTTGCTTTCTTCTTTCTTTTCTTATTCTTGCTTCCTTCTTCCTTTTCTTCTTCTTGCTTTCTTCTTTCTTTTCTTATTCTTGCTTTTACTTCCTTTTCTTCTTCTTGCTTTCTTCTTTTTGCATTCTTCTTTCTTTTCTTCTTCTTGCTTCCTTCTTCCTTTTCTTCTTCTTGCTTTTTCTTCTTTCTCTTCTTCTTCTTGCTTCCTTCTTCCTTTTCTTCTTCTTGCTTTCTTCTTTTTTGCATTCTTCTTCTTTTCTTCTTCTTGCTTTCTTCTTCCTTTTCTTTTTTCTTTTCTTCTTTCTTTTCTTCTTCTTGCTTCCTTCTTCCTTTTCTTCTCTTGCTTTCTTCTTTTGCATTCTTCTTTCTTTTCTTCTTCTTGCTTCCTTCTTCCTTTTCTTCTTCTTGCTTTCTTCTTTCTTTTATTCTTCTTGCTTTCTTCTTTCTTTTCTTCTTCTTGCTTCCTTCTTCCTTTTCTTCTTCTTGCTTTCTTCTTTCTTTTCTTCTTCTTGCTTCCTTCTTCCTTTTCTTCTTCTTGCTTTCTTCTTTTTGCATTCTTCTTTCTTTTCTTCTTCTTGCTTCCTTCTTCCTTTTCTTCTTCTTGCATTCTTCTTTCTTTTCTTCTTCTTGCTTCCTTCTTCCTTTTTTTCTTCTTGCTTTCTTCTTTCTTTTCTTCTTCTTGCTTCCTTCTTTCTTTTCTTCTTCTTGCTTCCTTCTTCCTTTTCTTCTTCTTGCTTTCTTCTTTCTTTTCTTCTTCTTGCTTCCTTCTTCCTTTTCTTCTTCTTGCTTTCTTCTTTCTTTTCTTCTTCTTGCTTCCTACTTCCTTTTCTTCTTCTTGCTTTCTTCTTTTTGCATTCTTCTTTCTTTTCTTCTTCTTGCTTCTTTCTTCCTTTTTCTTCTTCTTTCTTTTTCTTTCTTTTTCTTTTCTTCTTGCTTCCTTCTACTTTTCTTCTTCTTGCTTTCTTCTTTCTTTTCTTCTTCTTGCTTCCTTCTTCCTTTTCTTCTTCTTGCTTTCTTCTTTCTTTTCTTATTCTTGCTTCCTACTTCCTTTTTTCTTCTTGCTTTCTTCTTTTGCATTCTTCTTTCTTTTCTTCTTGCTTCCTTCTTCCTTTTCTTCTTCTTGCTTTCTTCTTTCTTTTCTTCTTCTTGCTTCCTTCTTCCTTTTCTTCTTCTTGCTTTCTTCTTTTTGCATTCTTCTTCCTTTTCTTCTTCTTGCTTTCTTCTTCCTTTTCTTTTTCTTGCTTTCTTCTTTCTTTTCTTCTTCTTGCTTCCTTCTTCCTTTTCTTCTACTTGCTTTCTTCTTTTTGCATTCTTCTTTCTTTTCTTCTTCTTGCTTCCTTCTTCCTTTTGTTCTTCTTGCTTTCTTCTTTCTTTTCTTCTTCTTCCTTCCTTCTTCCTTTTCTTCTACTTGCTTTCTTCTTTTTGCATTCTTCTTTCTTTTCTTCTTCTTGCTTCCTTCTTCCTTTTCTTCTTCTTGCTTTCTTCTTTCTTTTCTTCTTCTTGCTTTCTTCTTTCTTTTCTTCTTCTTGCTTCCTTCTTCCTTTTCTTCTTCCTTTTCTTCTTTCTTTTTTCTTCTTCTTTCTTCTTTCTTTTCTTCTTTTGCTTCCTTCTTTCTTTTTCTTCTTCTTGCTTCCTTCTTCCTTTTCTTCTTCTTGCTTTCTTCTTTCTTTTTTTCTTCTTCTTGCTTCCTTCTTTTTTCTTCTTCTTGCTTTCTTCTTTTTGCATTCTTCTTTTTTTTTTTTCTTCTTCTTCCTTTTCTTCCTTTTTCTTCTTTCTTTTCTTCTTCTTTCCTTCTTTCTTCTTCTTTTGCTTTCTTCTTTCTTTTTTCTTCTTGCTCCTTCTTCTTTTTTTTTCTTCTTGCTTCCTTCTTCCTTTCTTCTTCTTTTTTCCTTTCTTTTCTTCTTTTTCTTCCTTTTCTTCTTCTTCTTTCTTCTTTCTTTTCTTCTTGCTTCCTTCTTCCTTTTTTCTTCTTCTTGCTTTCTTCTTTTTGCATTCTTCTTTCTTTTCTTCTTCTTGCTTCCTTCTTCCTTTTTTTCTTCTTGCTTTCTTCTTTCTTTTTTCTTCTTGCTTCCCTCCTTCCTTTTTCTTCTTCTTTTTTCTTCTTTTTCTTCTTCTTCTTGCTTTCTTCTTTCTTTTCTTCTTCTTGCTTCCTTCTTCCTTTTCTACTTCTTGCTTTATTCTTTTTGCATTCTTCTTTCTTTTCTTCTTCTTGCTTCCTTCTTCCTTTTCTTCTTCTTGCTTTCTTCTTTCTTTTCTTCTTCTTGCTTTCTTCTTTCTTTTCTTCTTCTTGCTTCGTTCTTCCTTTTCTTCTTCTTGCTTTCTTCTTTCTTTTTTTCTTCTTGCTTTCTTCTTTCTTTTCTTCTTTTTGCTTCCTTCTTTCTTTTCTTCTTCTTACTTCCTTCTTTCTTTTCTTCTTCTTGCTTTCTTCTTTCTTTTCTTCTTCTTGCTTCCTTCTTCCTTTCCTTCTTTTTGCTTTCTTCTTTTTTTTTTTTCTTCTTTCTTCTTTCTTTTCTTCTTCTTCTTCCTTCTTTCTTTTCTTTCTTCTTGCTTCCTTCTTTTCTTCTTCTTCTCCTTCTTCTTTCTTTTCTTCTTCTTGCTTCCCTTCTTCCTTTTTCTTCTTCAATTTCTTCTTTCTTTTTCTTCTTCTTGCTTTCTTCTTCCTTTTCTTCTTCTTGCTTTCTTCTTTTTGCATTCTTCTTTCTTTTCTTCTTCTTCTTCCTTTTTCTTTTCTTCTTCTTGCTTTTTTTTCCTTTTTCTTCTTCTTTTCTTTTCTTTCTTTTCTTCTTCTTGCTTCCTTCCTCCTTTTCTTCTTCTTGCTTTCTTCTTTCTTTTCTTCTTCTTGCTTCCTTCTTCCTTTTCTTCTTCTTGCTTTCTTCTTTCTTTTTTTCTTCTTGCTTTCTTCTTTCTTTTCTTCTTCTTGCTTCCTTCTTTCTTTTCTTCTTCTTGCTTCCTTCTTCCTTTTCTTCTTCTTGCTTTCTTCTTTCTTTTCTTCTTCTTTTCCTTTCTTTTTTCTTCTTCTTGCTTTCTTTTTTCTTCTTTTCTTTCTTCCTTTTTCTTCTTTCTTGCTTTTTCTTTTTCATTCTTCTTTCTTTTCTTCTTCTTGGCTTCCTTCTTCCTTTTCTTCTTCTTGCTTTCTTTTTTTTTTCTTCTTCTTTCTTCCTTCTTCCTTTTTTCTTCTTGCTTTCTTCTTTCTTTTCTTATTCTTGCTTCCTTCTTCCTTTTTCTTCTTCTTCTTTTTCTTCTTTCTTTTCTTATTCTTGCTTTGCTTCCTTTTTCTTCTTCTCAATTTTCTTCTTTTTGCATTCTTCTTTCTTTTCTTCTTCTTGCTTCCTTCTTCCTTTTCTTCTTCTTGCTTTCTTCTTTCTTTTCTTCTTCTTGCTTCCTTCTTCCTTTTCTTCTTCTTGCTTTCTTCTTTTTGCATTCTTCTTTCTTTTCTTCTTCTTGCTTTCTTCTTCCTTTTCTTTTCTTGCTTTCTTCTTTCTTTTCTTCTTCTTGCTTCCTTCTTCCTTTTCTTTTGCTTTTCTTTTTTGCATTCTTCTTTCTTTTCTTCTTCTTCTTCCTTCTTCCTTTTCTTCTTCTTCTTTTTTTCTTTCTTTTCTTCTTCTTCTTTCTTCTTTTCTTTTCTTCTTCTTCTTGCTTCTTTCTTCCTTTTCTTCTTCTTTCTTCTTTCTTTTCTTCTTCTTGCTTCCTTCCTTTTCTTCTTCTTGCTTTCTTTTTTTGCATTCTTCTTTTCTTTTCTTCTTCTTGCTTCCTTCTTCCTTTTCTTCTTCTTGCTTTCTTCTTTCTTTTCTTCTTCTTGCTTCCTTCTTCCTTTTCTTCTTCAACCTTTCTTCTTTCTTTTTTTTTCTTGCTTTCCTTCTTTCTTTTTTTCTTCTTCTTCCTTCTTAGTTTTCTTCTTCTTGCTTTCTTCTTTCTTTTCTTCTTCTTCTTCCTTCTTCCTTTTCTTCTTCTTGCTTTCTTCTTTCTTTTCTTCTTCTTCTTCCTTCTTCCTTTTCTTCTTCTTCTTGCTTTGTTTTTTTGCATTCTTCTTTCTTTTCTTCTTCTTGCTTCCTTCTTCATTTTCTTCTTCTTGCTTTCTTCTTTCTTTTCTTCTTCTTGCTTCCTCCTTCCTTTTCTTCTTCTTGCTTTCTTCTTCTTTTCTTCTTCTTGCTTTTTCTTCTTTCTTTTCTTCTTCTTCTTCCTTCTTCCTTTTATTTCTTCTTTATTCTTTTTGCATTCTTCTTTTTTTTTTTCTTCTTGCTTCCTTCTTCCTTTTTTCTTCTTGCTTTCTTCTTTCTTTTTCTTCTTCTTGCTTTCTTCTTTCTTTTCTTCTTCTTGCTTCGTTTCTTTTTTTCTTCTTCTTGCTTTCTTCTTTCTTTTTCTTCTTGCTTTCTTCTTTTTTTCTTCTTTTTGCTTCCTTCTTTTTTTCTTCTTCTTACTTCCTTCTTTCTTTTCTTCTTCTTGCTTTCTTCTTTCTTTTCTTCTTCTTGCTTCCTTCTTCCTTTCTTTCTTTTTGCTTTTCTTCTTTTTTTTTTCTTCTTGCTTTCTTCTTTCTTTTTCTTCTTCTTGCTTCCTTCTTTCTTTTCTTCTTCTTGCTTCCTTCTTCCTTTTCTTCTTCTTGTATTCTTCTTTCTTTTTCTTCTTTTCTTCCTTCTTCCTTTTCTTCTTAATACTTTCTTCTTTCTTTTTTCTTCTTGCTTCCTTTCTTTTTTCTTCTTCTTGCTTTCTTCTTTTGCATTCTTCTTTCTTTTCTTCTTCTTGCTTCCTTCTTTCTTTTCTTCTTCTTTCTTTTTTCCTTTTCTTTTCTTTTTTCTTTTTCTTTTCTTCTTCTTGCTTCCTTCTTCCTTTTCTTCTTCTTGCTTTCTTCTTTCTTTTTTCTTCTTGCTTTTCTTCCTTTTCTTCTTCTTGCTTTCTTCTTTCTTTTTTTCTTCTTGCTTTCTTCTTTCTTTTCTTCTTCTTTCTTCCTTCTTTCTTTTCTTCTTCTTCTTCTTCTTCCTTTCTTCTTTCTTCCTTCTTCCTTTTCTTCTTCTTTTCTTTCCTTCTTCTTCTTCTTCTTCTTGCTTTTTCTTTTTTTTTTTCTTCTTCTTTTTCTGATTTTTCCTTCTTCTTCCTTTCTTCTTTTTTCATTCTTCTTTTTTTTCTTCTTCTTGCTTCCTTCTTCCTTTTCTTCTTTTCTTTTTCTTCTTCTTTCTTCTTCTTGCTTTCCTTCTTCCTTTTCTTTTCTTTTTTTTCTTTCTTTTCTTCCATTTCTTTCTTCTTTTTTTCTTCTTCTTTCTTTTCTTCTTTCTTTTCTTATTCTTGCTTTTCTTCCTTTTCTTCTTCTTGCTTTCTTTTTTTTGCTTTTCTTCTTCTTTCTTTTTCTTCTTCTTCTTCCTTCTTCCTTTTCTTCTTCTTGCTTTCTTCTTTCTTTTCTTCTTCTTGCTTCCTTCTTCCTTTTCTTCTTCTTGCTTTCTTCTTTTTGCATTCTTCTTCCTTTTCTTTTCTTGCTTTCTTCTTCTTTTTCTTTTCTTCTTTCTTCTTTCTTTTTCTTCTTCTTGCTTCCTTCTTCTTTTTCTTTCTTCCTTTTCTTCTTTTTTTCTTCTTTCTTTTTCTTCTTCTTCCTTCTTTCTTCTTTCTTCTTCTTCTTTCTTCTTCCTTTTCTTCTTCTTGCTTTCTTCTTTCTTTTCTTCTTCTTGCTTCCTTCTTCCTTTTTCTTCTTCTTGCTTTTCTTTCTTTCTTTTCTTTCTTCTTCCTTCTTCCTTTTCTTCTTTTTCTTTCTTCTTTTCATTCTTTTTCTTTTCTTCTTCTTCTTCCTTCTTCCTTTTCTTCTTCTTCTTTTTCTTTTCTTTTCTTCTTCTTCTTCCTTCTTCCTTTTCTTCTTCTTGCTTTTTCTTCTTTTCTTTTTTTCTTCTTTCTCCTTCTTTTTTTTTCTTTTTCTTCTTTTCTTCTTCTTCATTTTCTTCTTTTGCTTTCTTCTTTCTTTTCTTCTTCTTCTTCCTTCTTCCTTTTCTTCTTCTTTTTCTTCTTTCTTTTCTTCTTCTTGCTTCCTTCTTTTCTTCTTCTTGCTTTTTTCTATTTTCATTCTTCTTTTTCTTCTTCTTCTTTTCTTCCTTTTTTCTTCTTCTTTCTTCTTTCTTTTCTTCTTCTTGCTTCCTCCTTCCTTTTTCTTCTTCTTGCTTTCTTCTTCCTTTCTTCTTCTTGCTTTTCTTCTTTCTTTTCTTCAGTTTGCTTCCTTTTTCTTTTCCCTCTTCTTGCTTTCTTCTTTCTTTTCTTCTTGCTTCCTCTTTTCTTTTCCCTCTTCTTGCTTTCTTCTTTCTTTTCTTCTTCTTACTTCCTTCTTTCTTTTCTTCTTCTTGCTTTCTTCTTTCTTTTCTTCTTCTTGCTTCCTTCTTCCTTTCCTTCTTTTTGCTTTCTTCTTTCTTTTTTTCTTCTTCTTTCTTCTTTCTTTTCTTCTTCTTGCTTCCTTCTTTCTTTTCTTCTTTTCTTCCTTCTTCCTTTTCTTCTTCTTGTATTCTTCTTTCTTTTTTCTTCTTCTTGCTTCCTTCTTCGTTTTCTTCTTTAATGCTTTTCTTCTTTCTTTTCTTCTTCTTGCTTCCTTCTTCCTTTTCTTCTTCTTGCTTTCTTCTTTTTGCATTCTTCTTTCTTTTCTTCTTCTTGCTTCCTTCTTTCTTTTCTTCTTCTTGCTTTCTTTTTCCTTTTCTTCTTCTTGCTTTCTTCTTTCTTTTCTTCTTCTTGCTTCCTTCCTCCTTTTCTTCTTCTTGCTTTCTTCTTTCTTTTCTTCTTCTTGCTTCCTTCTTCCTTTTCTTCTTCTTGCTTTCTTCTTTCTTTTTTTCTTCTTGCTTTCTCCTTTCTTTTCTTCTTCTTGCTTCCTTCTTTCTTTTCTTCTTCTTGCTTCCTTCTTCCTTTTCTTCTTCTTGCTTTCTTCTTTCTTTTCTTCTTCTTGCTTCTTTATTCCTTTTCTTCTTCTTGCTTTCTTCTTTCTTTTCTTCTTCTTGCTTCCTTCTTCCTTTTCTTCTTCTTGCTTTCTTCTTTCTTTTCTTCTTCTTGCTTCCTTCTTCCTTTTCTTCTTCTTGCTGTCTTCTTTTTGCATTCTTCTTTCTTTTCTTCTTCTTGTTTCCTTCTTCCTTTTCTTCTTCTTGCTTTCTTCTTTCTTTTCTTCTTCTTGCTTCCTCCTTCCTTTTCTTCTTCTTGCTTTCTTCTTCCTTTTCTTCTTCTTGCTTTCTTCTTTCTTTTCTTCTTCTTGCTTCCTTCTTCCTTTTCTACTTCTTGCTTTATTCTTTTTGCATTCTTCTTTCTTTTCTTCTTCTTGCTTCCTTCTTCCTTTTCTTCTTCTTGCTTTCTTCTTTCTTTTCTTCTTCTTGCTTTCTTCTTTCTTTTCTTCTTCTTGCTTCCTTCTTCCTTTTCTTCTTCTTGCTTTCTTCTTTCTTTTTTTCTTCTTGCTTTCTTCTTTCTTTTCTTCTTTTTGCTTCCTTCTTTCTTTTCTTCTTCTTGCTTCCTTCTTCCTTTTCTTCTTCTTGCTTTCTTCTTTCTTTTCTTCTTGCTTCCTTCTTCCTTTCCCTCTTCTTGCTTTCTTCTTTCTTTTCTTCTTCTTACTTCCTTCTTTCTTTTCTTCTTCTTGCTTTCTTCTTTCTTTTCTTCTTCTTGCTTCCTTCTTCCTTTTCTTCTTTTTGCTTTCTTCTTTCTTTTTTTCTTCTTGCTTTCTTCTTTCTTTTCTTCTTCTTGCTTCCTTCTTTCTTTTCTTCTTCTTGCTTCCTTCTTCCTTTTCTTCTTCTTGTATTCTTCTTTCTTTTCTTCTTCTTGCTTCCTTCTTCCTTTTCTTCTTAATGCTTTCTTCTTTCTTTTCTTCTTCTTGCTTCCTTCTTCCTTTTCTTCTTCTTGCTTTCTTCTTTTTGCTTTCTTCTTTCTTTTCTTCTTCTTGCTTCCTTCTTCCTTTTCTTCTTCTTGCTTTCTTCTTTCTTTTTTTCTTCTTGCTTTCTTCTTTCTTTTCTTCTTCTTGCTTCCTTCTTTCTTTTCTTCTTCTTGCTTCCTTCTTCCTTTTCTTCTTCTTGCTTTCTTCTTTCTTTTCTTCTTCTTGCTTCCTTCTTCCTTTTCTTCTTCTTGCTTTCTTCTTTCTTTTCTTCTTCTTGCTTTCTCCTTTCTTTTCTTCTTCTTGCTTCCTTCTTCCTTTTCTTCTTCTTGCTTTCTTCTTTCTTTTCTTCTTCTTGCTTCCTTCTTCCTTTTCTTCTTCTTGCTTCCTTCTTCCTTTTCTTCTTCTTGCTTTCTTTTTGCATTCTTCTTTCTTTTCTTCTTCTTGCTTCCTTTTCTTCTTCTTGCTTTCTTCTTTCTTTTCTTCTTCTTGCTTCCTTCTTTCTTTTCTTCTTCTTGCTTTCTTCTTCCTTTTCTTCTACTCGCTTTATTCTTTCTTTTCTTCTTCTTGCTTCCTTCTTCCTTTTCTTCTTCTTGCTTTCTCCTTTCTTTTCTTCTTCTTGCTTCCTTCTTCCTTTTCTTCTTCTTGCTTTCTTCTTTTTGCATTCTTCTTTCTTTTCTTCTTCTTGCTTCCTTCTTCCTTTTCTTCTTCTTGCTTTCTTCTTTCTTTTCTTCTTCTTGCTTTCTTCTTTCTTTTCTTCTTCTTGCTTCCTTCTTCCTTTTCTTCTTCTTGCTTTCTTCATTTTGCATTCTTCTTTCTTTTCTTCTTCTTGCTTCCTTCTTCCTTTTCTTCTTCTTGCTTTCTTCTTTCTTTTCTTCTTCTTGCTTCCTTCTTCCTTTTCTTCTTCTTGCTTTCTTCTTTCTTTTCTTCTTCTTGCTTCCTTCTTCCTTTTCTTCTTCTTGCTTTCTTCTTTCTTTTCTTCTTGCTTCCTTCTTCCTTTTCTTCCTCTTGCTTTCTTCTTTCTTCTCTTCTTCTTGCTTTCTTCTTTTTGCATTCTTCTTTCTTTTCTTCTTCTTGCTTCCTTCTTCCTTTTCTTCTTCTTGCTGTCTTCTTTCTTTTCTTCTTCTTGCTTCCTTCTTCTTGCTTTCTTCTTTCTTTTCTTCTTCTTGCTTCCTTCTTCCTTTTCTTTTTCTTGCTTCCTTCTTCCTCTTTCTTCTTCCTTTCTTCTTCTTCCTTTCTTCTTCTTGCTTCGTCTTTCTTCTTGCTTTCTTCTTGATTTTGACGTCTTTTGCTTTCTAATCTTTATTCTTTTCTTCTACTAACTCTTCTTCTTGCTTTCTAGTTCTTTTGCTTCTTCCTTCTTACTTTCTTCATCTCTTCTTGCTTTCTTCTTCCTCTTGATCCCTCTTTCTTTCTTTCTTTCTTTCTTTCTTTCTTTCTTCTTCTTGCTCTCCTGTTCTTCTTCCTACTTCCTTCTTCTTGCTTTCTTCTTGTTTGCACTTTCTTCTTTCTCTTCTTCTTCATCTTCTTCTTTCTTCTTTTTGATTTCTTCTTCTTTTTGCTTTCTTGTTTTTTTCTTGCTTCTTTCTTCTTCTTGTTTTCTTCTTTTTTTTCTAATTACTTTCATCTTCTTCTTCTTCAAAGAAAATCCTGCTGAACTGCTAGTGTTGCATACAACAGTGAATACTGAACAATTTATGCGCGGATGAAGAGGAGACGTGAAGGCAAATTTGTTTGGATCTACAGAAGGATGCTGAGAATTCTATGAACTGAAACATATATGCAACAAGAATGTTTAAAGAAAACAGGAAACAAAAAGGACATTTACACTTAGAATCAAAAAGA